ATTGGGCCGAACGAAATCCAAAATTTGGGGTCGGAAACTCAAAAATTCAGCCCATTTCCGAAGAGGCCCCAGCCTCTTGGAGCGAGAGACGTAATGCTAACGAAACGGCTTGCTCCTACCGCCTACCACTTGGCAGTTGCTAACGAACTTAAATCGCATAAACCTTCCCATGTCAAGACCACGTCAATCCCGATCGCCTCTTTGTTCTTCCTTAGGCAACTGAAATATCTAGAACTCCCTTTGTCATTCGCGGTTAGCCATCCTCTCCTCTTATTGACTCGGAATGTTCAGGCAAAAACCCATACTTTGCCCTTGACCTTTTCAAGTTTAAGGACTTTTGTCCGTCAACTTACAATATACAGTTTTGTGCCCTTCATCTCTTTGAGTTTGGGGTAATAAGGCAAAATTAAATGTTGGAGACTCACTTGAACTTTCGTACGCAATCACACATCAACATCACTTGGACTTGTAAAATTTACATGTTGGTATCGCTTGGTCACTTGAGTGTCCAAATACGCTTTAAAATTAACTTAAGAAAAAAAAAAAAAAACTCTTTTTAATATGACATGGCACATGTTGATTGGCTATATGAAACAAAAACTTAATTTAGTTTAACCTTTTCCGTTTTTATTTTTTATCTCTCACAACCCTCACCTACATTAGCTAACCTTTTCACTTTTCTTTCGAATCTTATACGTCATCTTCATACATGACGTCATGCAGTAGTTATTGCACTATCTCTGTAAGTAGGGTGGGCAAAATTGGTTTCGGTTTAAAATCGAAACCGATTTTGAATTAACTAAAAAAATTTGGTTTTAATTTTACAAACCGAAATTGAATCAAAATTGTTATAAGTTAATCGGTTTGGTTGCCAATTTTTATCAATGAATTCGGTTTGGTTTCGATTTTTATTAAATAAATATTAATTAATTATTTTTTAATAATAAATTATATTTTATTACATATTTTATCATATTTTGTTATATTTTATCTTATATTTTATCATATTTTAATATATTTTATCTATTTTATCCTAATTTTGGTTTTATTTTCGATTTTCAATTTTTAAGAAACTCAACCAAAACCGAACCAAAATATATTCGATTAATACCGAAACCAAAAAATAGAACCAAAAATCATTGAAACCAAACCAAATTCATTTTTTCTGTTCGATTTTTGAGTAAACAATTGGTTTGGTTAAAAAAACCCAGCCCTATCTGTAAGTGATGCAACCTCATCACGAACACATACAAAAAAAAAAAAAAAATTTCAAACAAATTAAATTCCAAATATGGAAAACCACATCCACTAACAAATCCATAAACGTGCAATTGGAATATCACTTGGAACACCCAAAAAAATCTTACAATTGAAGGACTGCCTCGTTATTGACATAAAGAACACTTGAACTCTTTGAAAAAAAAAAAATAGAAAGAATAAAAGCCTATCATTAAGGAAGCTTCCTTAATAGCTTGGGCCCTCTAAAGATTTTGAAGACCCTCAGTGCAATGAACTTAGGCACTCAGAACATTTGAAGAAGGAAAAAAAAAAAATCAACGTTTGACCCTTGTTATATTTTGATTTTTCAGTTTCCCACTTTGAAAATATGTGGTGTTGGGCTTGTTGGTAGTTTGCAAAAATGTGATATGTTGGACTGGACTGGGCATATTCTTTAATGGGAAGTAAGAAATTGAAACATCCAGATTGGATTGGTTTGTAGATATGATAGGAACGACAATTGAAAAGGGGGGAAATTTTTAAATAACCAGTTTGCATTCTTCGTCAATATTGGTCAAAAAATCTTGATAAGGAAATTGAATCAAACCCAGACTCATCAAATCAAATTAAACTAACTGCAAGGTAAAATTAAATCAAACTCATCATGGGAGAATCACTTAGTAAAGTAATTGAAAAAATCATTAAGATTTCTACACCCAAAATCCCAAAACCAAAAGAGAAAAAAAAACACAAAAAAAAAAAAAAAACCAAGATGCATGAAATCAGATGACTATAACTCCTCCGAAGTCAAGTGAAATAAAAAATCTTCAAATTTGGGTTTGGGATTAGACTTGCAACGAATCATCCTTTTTGGCATCAACAAACTCTAGGTACAGGTCATATGAGTCTTCCCATCATATGTAGTTCCCTTGGTTGATAATGAAGAAGAGAATCTTTAGTTCCTTGCGCGAGGTTCCTCACCAACAGCGAGGACTCACATGACCCCTTGTCATTGCTATCAATTTCGACAATCCTACATCCATGAATCCTTGGTCTTGGAGGAAGCAACATTGCAATAGGCCCAAATCTCTGAGTCTTGGAGGATAGGGATAGCAGGGAAGAGGGGAGGAGAGAAAGTTGAGGTAAGAACCCAAAAAATGATATTTTATTAATTTCTAAGTATATATAATTTTTCAATTAAATAATTCGAGCTAGCAGTGCCAACATGTAAATTTTACAAGCCTAGGTGGCACTAGTGTGTGATTGAGTAGCAGAGGTTTAACATCACATGCTGCACGGGACCTTCTAACATTAAATTTTGCCTTATTACCCTAGCCTTGAGAGGATGGAGGGCACAAATCTATACATATTGTAAGCTAAAGGGTAAAAACTTTCAAACTCAAAAAGATCAAGGGCAAAGTATGGGTTTTTTACTATAAGGTGTACATGGCCATGGTTAAACTTAAAATAAAATATATATTTTTTAAACAAATGATGTATTGGGTAAAAAATATATTATAATTTGATATAATTTAATATAATTTAAATTATAAAATATTAATTATTAAATTAGAAAGACACCTTGAGAATGGGGAGGATCTCTTCATTCCATAATTGATTTCAGTTTAGATAGTAAAGTATAAATAATTAAATTAGAGGGCACCTTAATGATGAAATATGGTTTTTTTTTTATTTAATAATTAATGTATTATATATAATAAAATTTCAATTGTAAAATATTAGACTTATTAGGTCAATTAATTAAAAATTTAAATTCTGTTGACAATGGTTATAGTTTTTAATTTTTGTTTAATTTTTTAAAAAATTTTATAGTCGGTAAAAAATTTAAAAAAAAAACCAATTTACCAAACAAGAGTTTAAAATATCTTTTTTAACTTTTCAAATTCACACAAAATCATTGTTCTTTCCTCAAAATTATATTTCACCCCAAAAAATATCTTCTGGCTTTGCCAAACACTGCTAGGAGCATAAAATTTGTCCCTCACTACTATGGGTGAGCATTTTTTGGTACATGTTATGAATTATATTTAATATTTAATTTAAACATTTTTAAATATAATTTGTTAGGTTTGGTATCTACTTAAACATTCAAAAACTTATATATGGTAATTAATCTAAAAAGTACCGAGTAACTTATGGCTATATACTTATATATTGATTTAGATAAAGAAAATATTTAATATGAAATGCTATTGTTATCGTGTATATGTTTCATATAGGGTTTATTATTTATGCGAATTATTATTGTATGTAGGGGTGTTCGCGGTGTGATTTGGTTCGGATTTTAACATTTTTTAATCCAATCCAATTTAATCGGTGAGTAAAATTTTTAAATCAATCCA